ATCATCTACAGATCGTAATCTGATCCTACACAAATTACATATTCAAGAGAATTATTAACTTACTGAGAAATAGTGAAATATGATTTCTTGTCTTTTTTTGTCCAAGTATTCCATGGGTTTTTTATTAATAATTTTCAAAATAGCTGTTCCGGATATCACCTCTCCTACAGAATTCTGATAAATTTGATCATATTAGAAGCCAAGAAGATTTGGAAATAATCAGATCTTCAAAGAACTGGTAACTAATACATATCAAAAGCAGCCTAACGTATTTCAGTGTTCTTCTCCTTTGAAACAACAAAAAGAAGTCAGATTTTCTACTGGAGAAATGATTTCGAAATTCAGAAAAAATACAGTATTATACAGGAATGTAAATTGCTCTCATAATTTAAAGCTCATTCTTATAGCAAATAGAATCAAACAATAAAAGGGTATAGCCTGAGTATTTGTTATCGCAGAATGTTCCTGTTATCACAGAATCGAAAAAATGGCCTGTTGCCAGCTTTATGTTCTAGCTGTGTAGTGACTTGTACATGAAGAATTTGGCAAAGGTCAAACTGACCAATAAGGAGATGTTGAATATTGACTGCTATGTGCCTGTTGAAGGCTGTACAGAAAATTTGAAAATAATTATTTTTATGATTTTTTTTTTAGATGATGGCTTTAGGTTATATTACTTTATAGCATTTGATAATCCAGCAGAACTCTTTCATAACATTTTACTAAGTTTATTCCAATTCTCTCAGCCTAACATGAGATTTCTATTTTAATTAAGTTCCCATATCTTCATGATGATGTGACAGAAAACATTTATTAATTAATTTGCAAACTGAATCTCTTTTTGCTTTGAATGAGATGTCATTATTATATATTTATGGCAAGGTTTAAAAATGAAAGGCAAAACTATTTTTCCTGTATACCACCAGAAGCTAAAGAGAAAAAGTACATATGAAGATCCAAAGGGAAGAAGTAAAATTTACAAATATATGGTAAAAAATAACAAGATATGGTTGTCTAATGAGTATAGCTCCTTGTTTAAGCTTAGATGCAGTTAGGGTAAACATACTTGAAATTCAGTTGAATCCCAAATGTACTTAATCACATTTGAAAGGAATGATCTACAGGAGCTGTACAACCAGGTCTAGGATCATCTTCACCTGAATCACATTTCTTAGGACTTATTTATTTAATTAAATAACTAGAAAGATTTTGAACTTTACTCCTAAAAGAAGGCCTATGACTACAAACCTGTTTTTATTTATGGTTTTAAGAAGCTAAGATTTAATGATGTATAATTGCTTTATCAGTTTTCTCAACATAAATCCTAACTTCTGTGCCATCAAAGATAAAGTTTTGGAAAATTGAGTTTCTCTATAAATAGCATATGAAGCATATCAAGGAATGATGGAACAATAATTACAGTTCAATCCTACTTTTTGTATTACATGAAAAAGATTTCAGTTTAAATCATGGAGCGTTCTGCCCTAATCTGCTGTCTTTCTCCAAACAGTCACTTCCAAATGAGATGGAAAACTGGAAACATTCACAGGAGCAATTCTTCTACCTTATTGTCCTTCCCTGACTACTTTATTGAACAATGATGCCACAATTGCTTTTACAGATACTTCTTAATTTTCCAAATCAAACAGACATAAAAGAGGATTAAGGAATCAGAAGTCATAAAAATTTACACCTCTTCTTTCCTTTTTCTCTAAGACTTCCTTTGTGGGCACGGAAGATTTCAAAACCAACACTGTTGTTTATATCCAAATCTTAAAAAAATAACATAGAGTCAAAATCTCATAGTTCAGAACTAAAAATTGGTTTCCTTGGGTTTATAATTGAGTCATAATTTCACTCTGGGGCACTACTTCTTAATTAAGAGACAGAATCACTTTTCCTCCACTAAATTTGGTACTTTGAAGTTGAAGTTTGGAAGAGGAGTAAGAAAGAGGACCAGACAGCTCTTTACTGCATAACCTTGACTGTTCCCATTCCCCTACAAGTTCACAAGACTCATAAAGGTCAGGGGATGGGATAAAAAAAAAAGGTGATTTGGTTCTCCTGTGAACTCGGGAAGTCAGAAATCATGTGGCACTTTTCAAAAGAAACAACAAAAGTTGCTGTAAGGGAAATAGTTGGGTAATTCCACTACCTGGACTCACATTTTGGTCACTAGTCAAAAATAGCAGTTTATGAGCAATTATGCATTAGTAGGTGAACCACAGGCTAGAGGACAAGACATACTGGTAAGGCCAACTTCTGCCTCATATGGGCTACTTAAAATTTTCCCTGAATATTTTTTCTTGCTTTTTTTTTTGGTCAAAGACGAAGTCAAAGTACAGGTGGAGTAATGACGTGAAAGGACATAATAAATTTTTTTCAGCACCACTTTTTCCTCACTATTCTCAAGTTTAAAAAAAAAAAATCCCTGACAAAAAAAAAGAAAAGAAAAAAAACCACCCAAAAACCCCACAAACACTTTAGGAATATCAATTCATGTAGCAAGTCCATCTACTCCAGAACCCCATGAGACACTGTGACCACTGGCCCTTTACCCACTTTAACACATGGTCTGTTGCACTGAGCAAAATCTGCACAGTCAGACGTGTATTGCACTATATGCTTAAGTCTTCGTGCTCTGCGTACAGTTCTTTCTATTGTTTTCCAGGTACTAGCTACATTCCATAAAGAGCTGCTGAACTTTGTTCAGGCACAGCTCTCAATGAAAGAAGACTGGCAATATGAGAGTCTCCATAAAACCAAGCTGAAAACTTCTTGAAACAATCTTCTGGGACTCTTCTTGTCCTTGGGCAGGATTTCTGCATGTAAGTGGGAGACAGTGCAGACTGAAGAGATCTCTTTTAAAAGTTTTACTGATTTTCATTAGACAGGTTGACATGACTTCTCTGGGCCCCTCAGTGGAGGATTTTAATCACATTGTGTCTTTTGCGCTACAGTGATCACAATGCTAATCTCTGTAATTCCACATTTGGGAGCCCACTTCTCGAAGTGTAAACAACTGACACTGGTTTCACAAAGAACATTTTTCCAGAGGGAATGCAATGGTAGAGTCACAGAGAAACATCGTAAGCCAAAAACTGGAAAAAAGTAATGGAATTGCATAAGGAAAAATAAAACATCCACAGTTTCCTTTCCTTGTGCTGTAGAATGTGCAAGAATAAAATACATGTGAATAATATTTTGTGAGGGAGAAAACTTTGCCCATTTGATCAAACTCAACTGTCCAGATAAAGCCAGCCGGGGGGAAAAAACCCCATACCTTTAAAGAAAATAATGTGAGTAATTCCTAAGGATCTTTGAGCTTGATAAATGACAAGAGCTCTGAGATAATAATGCAGTTGTATTGTAATACTGTTTAATGGCATTTGCTGTTAACATTATTCACACAAGGATGCTACTGACTTGTAATTCCTTGAAAAGATGATCTTTCATAAAACCTGTATTACTGAAATCCTTGAGCTTTTTACCACTACAAAGATTGCAGATGGCTTCGTGGGATCTATTAATGCCTCAAGTGACAGAATGCTACAGCACCTGACTAAATATAGAGAAGAAAAAGAGAAAAGCAGACCTATAATCACTGTTGCTCAAAAGAGGAAATGCAGGCACTGTGCCAATTCTTGCATTAACTATCACAAATCTATTAAGACATTTCTTCCACCTCAATTAATTTGCATTGTACTATTAATAATGGCGTAACTCCCGCGCTCTTGATTTCAGGGTGCAATACCATTAATGCTACAATGCTCTAACATAAAAACTTCTATAGATCTGGCAAAAGTATGAAACGCATACTTAGAAAAATTACCAAGAGGCTGAAGTTGGGATAATGCACTTATTATGTTTGCAATGTTCCCACATTACTCCTAATACATAACACAGAGGGACTTAAATCTACGAGGCCAGAAAATAGCTTGATAATTAAATTTTTTGCCCACTCCAGAAAGTTACAGCATTATAATGAATGCTGTAACCTCTCTTAACCTTTTTTTTTGTTATTCTACCTACTCTTTGTACTTTTATGTAAGAATTACTATATTTTCATTTGCATATTGCTCATCTTTTTCTCTAATTTGAAACATGACATACTTAAGCATTTCACATAAAACAAGCAACCTTAATTCCTTATGACTAATCAAAAGCAAACTACATTCAATTTAATTCTGTACAAGAACCTCTATTCAGAGATTTGCTGCCTTTTTTTTTTCCCATTTAACACTTTCAGTTAATTCATCTGAGCATTTTAGAGAATTGCTTTTTGGAGAACACCTATACATTCATTCCTCTCATAATTCGTCATTAAACCATTTCATTACTGTACCAAGAGCATTCACGTTTCATAATACCACACCCCTGGCAGGATCTTTTGGAACATTCATTTTGGAATATCTGCATTGCACCTTAAGCCACTGCGAGAACCACCATTGTAGGAGGAGGAGGAGTAGCAGTAATGGTGGTTGTAGTTACAAGGAAGCTTTGAAATGTGGCCTAGAATTACACTGAGAAGCTGATCCTTTATTTTGATTAACGGCTAACTCCGTAAACCACAGCAGAATTGCATTACTGTAGAGTTGAGATTCCACAGATTAGGAAGCAGAAATTATTAAACTGTCATAATCCAAAACCAGGAAGAAATATTTGTATGGATGTCTTACTTATAAACAGCTAAACATATGCGTTTGCTTCATTGCAAATGCAACCTTCACTCTGATATGCCGGTTTTCATAGAACACAGTACTACCAATCACAAAATCAGTATGTATATGGATCTTATCTGGTTGTTTTGACTGAAGCTTCAGGAGAATTAAAAGGATTTGAGACCTCACGCCCCTTCCTTGAGGCTTTCTGTGGTCTTTTCAATTTCATTTTGGTTTGCTGATTTGCTCTCTACCATCAGTACGTCCAAATTTGATAAAAGAGAAATGCAACAGATGCCTCAGAGCAGTTTGCATTATAGATAGCACACAATTGCTTACCTGTTTAACTGCATAAAGGAGGCGACCGTAGCAGTACATCATCACCATCACAGGGACGACCAAGCAGAATATGAAGAGACAGATGATATAGGATGTGGACTCAGCTGACTCTGAGGACCAGCGTACTGAACAGCTTGTACCTGCACCTTCTACCCCATAACTGCTCCAACCGATCAGAGGTGGCACAGTCCAGATCAGGGAATAAATCCATGAACCTCCAACTGCCAGCAATGCCTTCTGGTAGTCATCGCTGCGCTTGTTGCACAGGGTGAGAGTGCTGTAGCGCTCGTAGGACAGGACGGCCAGGGAGATCAGGGACACGATTCCTGCAATGAACCAAGCAATATAAATGGTTACTTTCATTATTTTGCATAGTATCCATTCCAAATCCCAAGAAATTAGATGGTCGTTTGGTTATTACATATTTGAAGCAACAGTGAAAACTATTTCCATTATTCTCTTTGCCTTAATTCTCACCAGACCTGGTTGCCCTGTCCATTGTGTCAAATTTTGTTTAACTCAGATTTATCTTATATTGGAAGATTTTTTATACTTGAGAGATATTCATCTTCCAGTCAGGTTTTCAGCTTTATCTATATAGTATTACCCAGGGTAAATAGATTTTCTACCTGAGCTAATAAAATGGTGAAAGATTCTCTTGATAAGAACTATTCCATTTTTTACATCCATGAGCATTTTCAAATATTGCATTGACTTTTATACATGCAAAAATAGCTGTATATTCGAGACTGGGAGCCCCATAATGAAAGAAGCTTTTACTTCTTTTGCTCTGCCCCATCAGCTAGCTGTACCTTCAGGTATGATCACTCATATGGAAATATCAGACAACCACATCATGACTGTGATATGGCAGGTTGCAACTTTATTTACAATTATATCACATCTAATATAATCAAAATAAACAGTGACTTAGATTAATATTGAGCCCTAGGTGTCACATATCAGTCTTCCAGAAGAAGACTTAAAAATGGGGTTTGTAGGACATTTCCATTCTCTTTTTCAAGGTTCAAGATCCCAACCCCCTCTACAAAGCTTTATGGTTTTCCATGGCAGGTTCTTAGTCATGACTCAATTGAATGGCTTTTGCTATTTGCTGTGTTTTTGTTCTCCTTGCAGCTTCCTTACAGTTCTTGGAGACACAACACTGCATACCACTTCCAGGATTTATGAGAGAAGGAACTTGTTTGAAGACATTTAAAACCATCTTTTCCAATGGTTTCCAGTCCCCTTCTTTTGGTCCTGTAAGATGAAAAATCTGAATAGATCTATGTCAGCCCAGTTCCTTCCAGGACTATTTTCTTGATCTTTGCTATTAGTAATCACGAACTATACAGTAGTATTGAGATATGTAGCCTGCCAAAATTTTGAGTGGTACCTACTCCCTGCAAATCCATTAACAGAAAAGGTCATCTTCAGGGGAATCCACAGCTGTAATCCATTTTCCCCATTTAACTGTCAGCTTCCCCTGTAGCTCCTTCCCAGGCATAGAATGGAGGTGAGCCAGAGACTCCCCTGGGAATAGCAATACTCTATCCGGTACCTGGGCAAAACATCCCCCACATATACCCACACAGGGCACAGTGGGATATTCTCCCCAAGGCACAGCATTCTGCTCCTCTTTTCCTTACAATTCAAGGACTCATTTCAGACTTAGCTGGATGCAGGCACAGCTATTTCTGTCATCCTGACAACAATTTGCAGTTACTTTGTGCAGAGCTGGGTGCGGCAAAGGACCCAAGGGAAATGCAAGCGCTGCTTGCTGCAATAGGATGCTTTATTTCTCAGGGGAAGAGAAGGCAAAAGGGTGTGAGGAAAAGGCAACTTTTGAAGAAGAAAACATCTTTCTTGTTACAAGAGTCTACTAAATTATTTTCTGTATAATATTTGGAAGTCAATCCTAAAAAGTAGATGCATTTACAGCTGTAACAGCCCCACTAAATCCAACTGACAAACTGACCTGTTTTAAGGCTAGGCTATTTTAGAGGCAGCAGAGACATTCTGATCATTTCTCACTAATCTTATTTCCTACAAAACACTGCTCTTGAAGACTCAAGAACAAAGAATCTACTGCTCTCTTCTTGCTTTCAGCCCACACTTATTTATCTTTACTTTCTTCGCAATGCCTCTTTTCCGTGCTTTATCTGCTTGACTAAAAAGCTTCTCGCTATCAAAAACATTTAGCTCATGTAGGTACCTAAGGAAAAAATCCAGATTTTATATTTGAAACTTAGGCCTCAGTAAGATGATATAGATCTGTTTCTCTATTTTAGATTAGACAATCATGGACTAACAGAAAACTCTGGGAACAAGAAATCTCTCTCCTCCCAGCTGAGTGCTCTACAGAAAGATCTATTGTTCTTGCCGCACCTCTGACGGCAATTGAGGCCACATTTTCCCTACTTTGATGAGATGTACTTTTGTTGAGAATACCCTACATTCCTGCATATGCAGTGTTGCCTAGAAAACCCAGATGGGGTGTTCAAACTTCCCTAGCTCAGGGCCTTGCTTCCTGGATGGTTGCTTTCACCACTGGGCTTTCTGGTCAAGTCTGGCTGACAGCTCTGCCTGCTCATCCCTTTGGCTGTGCTACTGCCCAGCAGCTTCTCCTGGTGCGTATTGTCATGATTTATGGCATTCGTTTACACTTCCTCTTATTTTCACCTATTGCTTAATACAAGGAAGATGCTGGGCTTTTCTCATGCTGGTATTTATGATGGATGGCTTTATGGAGCAGATCTGAGGACAACTGACCCTGAATGAAGGATTGATTGCTTTAGGATGCAGAAAAGACCTGTCTTAGACTGGCATAGAATTAATGCTCAGATATTGAATTAGGATCGTGGTGATGTCAGGGAAGAATAAATCAAATATTGGCACTCAGACAAAACCACAAAAGCTGCCTTTAAATTATAGAAAATAATTTTTCTTCTCTATACAGAAGAAAATTAGATACTCTTGATTGCACATGTTGGCAGGAGCCAATTCATCTTCACTCACCTTTTATTATTGAGTTCCACTGACATGACACAAACTGTACTTTTCTCTGGAGGACAAGAACTGTGATACATGGAATCCCAGACCACAAAAGTTCAGAAAAAAATCCAATATTTTTCTTTTTGGCACAGTAAGACTTCAAGGCCTGAACTTTTTAATAGCACTAAAATTGATACCACTGTGAATTGACTTCTAATACTTTCAAGACAAAAAGGGAAAACGAAGAATACACCGAAGGGGTAGTTCATAAGCGATAATAAAAGAATTCAGCATTCTGCATGTGGTTTAATTTACTAAGGGCAGCTAACATTTTAGAAAAATTACAATTACTTTCAAAGAATAGAACAGGTGCTTTGAAAGACAAAAAGGGATGAAATTAAGAGCCTAAAGCAAAATAAAAAGTAAACAACTAGCTTTTTCCAACAGTGAGATACATTCAGCTTAATTGGCTGTAATGAAAACATCTATTACCCAGGTGAGGAAGAAATGGGGACAACAGAGGCTATGGCAACCCTCTCAGTCTACTTTGTGTGGCCTTGTGCAGCATATACAAAGTCACAAAACGTGCCCTGAACCTCTATACTGCAGCACTGCAGCTCCATCCAACCTTACTGATGGAGGGCCTTTCACCTTAACACAGAAGCCAAGAGTGTTCAAAACCAAACTAGGATGCACATCAAGAAATAACCTTGTTCCAATGTTGTGGTAGATAAGCTCTAATATCCCTGATTGGTAAGAATATCCTCAGCTTTTTTTTAATAAAAACAAACAAACAAACAACCCCCCAAAAAAACACAACTTTTTTTTAATCTCACTCTTTTGTTAGTTTAATAGCTGAATCCTAGAAATATAGCACTATCATTTGATCAATTATAATGGATACACCGGCCTAACTTGATGGACTGAAACAACATAATTTCACAACAAAGGCAAAACCAGGTTTTGTGTTTTAGTTTGACACTGGCTGGAAGTAAAATACAGGCATCAGGTGTGTAACAGTGAATAGGCTGCCAGCAAAAAAATGATGATTGCCTTGTCCTTTATATGCTTTTCAATAGAACCCAGTATGATCCTCTCCATAATTTTTCCAGGTACTGATTTTAGACTAACAGGCTCGTAGTTTCCTTCGTCCTCCCTCATGCCCTTCTTGTAATCTGGTTTGGTTATAGTAGAATAAAGCTTCTCACTTTTCATTGTGCCTCCTAGCTTTGCCTCTCAAGAGTTTCCTTAATGCCATGTGCATTTAACTGTTGTGACCTTTGCCAGAAATCCTGCAGTTATCTGGTATTCTATTTCATGCCCTATATATTGCAGTCAGAGGAATTAGTGAGAATCTCAGCTTTAAAACAAAAAAACAATTAAATACTTTAGAATTCTCTCTGAGGAAAAGACTTGAATGCAATCTCCATGCTCTTAATAACCAGAAATCAAATTTAAAAAATTAATGTAAGTTATAAAAAGAAGAAAATAATTATAATTTTAAAGTTAATCATAATGCTTTATGCCAACATTTCACTCTTATTGTACAGCAACATTTATGACTGTGTAGACTGTATATATTAATTTCACATGAATAATTTTTTCTAAAACTGCAATAAAATTAGTTTCATGAATTGCAAATCTAAATAGAATTTGATTCCAACAAATATTTAAGGCCTCAAGCTGGTACCTAGCCAAATAACTTCACAGGAGTCAATCACAGTGAGAAATGTAATTTGCTCCCCCAACATTTCATGCATATACAGGAACAAAGATGAGGTTCTTACTGAAAGATGACAAAAAATCCACTGCAGATTTCATTACAGTAATAGATAATTATTCAAAAGTTAACCATGGAAATAGATGACTTTGAGACAACTTGGAAGTGGGGCATGAGGCTTTTCTACACAGCAATTCGTTGCAGGGAGTGTAAGACATTAAATTTCAAGTCATAAACCAGGACAGGCATCTATTTATAGAACTATCATCTGAGACATTGTCTATTATTTACTTTAAGGATCTGTACATTTCTCCCTGGCAGCATAGCACAGAGTATGCTGTGAAAGGCACAGCAAATTGTTATGCTTTGTCCTCATGAGTCCCAGCTAAAAGTGTTACATTTTCTTATCAGTTTTTGCTGGTTTATGTTGCTCACTGATGTAGTAATTGGAAAGGGGACACAGCTCACCCATGGTCTGTAGGTTATGAAAAACTGAGACTCACTGAGAGTCAGCCTACACTGGGTCAATGTTTTGATTACTAACTTAGGTATATTTTGTCCTCTTAAATCTCCTGAAGGTCATTATCCTATGTGATGGTTAGAGTTCTGGAG